GAAAAGAGAAAAGAAAAGAGAAAAGAAAAGAGAAAAGAAAAGAGAAAAGAAAAGAGAAAAGAAAAGAGAAAAGAAAGAAACAAAAAAAGGAAAGGAAAAAGAAAGAAAAGAAAAAAGAAAAGAAAAGAAAAAAGAAAAGAAAAGAAAAAAGAAAAGAAAAGAAAAAAGAAAAGAAAAAAAGAAAGAAAGAAAAGAGAAGAGAAAAGAAAAGAATAAAGAAAAGAAAAGAAAAAAGAAAAGAAAAGAAAAGAAAAGAAAAGAAAAGAAAAAAGAAAAGAAAAAGAAATAAACAAAAAGAAAAAAAGAAAAGGAAAAGGAAAAAGAAAGAAAAGAGAAAAGAAAAAGTCCAGCTACTTTAAAAAAAAAGCACCTCGGGGTCTCCTTTCCCTCTTCCTCGCCAAGAAAGAGCCCAAGGCAGAGAGACCCTCCCTCCCACTCACCCAGCCAGCCCAGCCAGCACCGTCGAGGCTGAGCGGCTAGGTAAAAAGTCCCGGGGCTGAATGGAAGCGTGGGAACCCGAGGGGGCGTGGCTCGGCGGGTGGTGTTGCCGGCGCCGTCCAATCCCAGGGCCGCCCGGCGGACGAGCCCACCCCCTCGGTGTTTTCCCTTTTAAAAAAAAGAGCCGCCTCGCCGCGCGCTTTCCCCATTCATTCGTTGCTCCGCCGGGGCGCGCTGGGTATGGCTTCCTTTGCGCGCTTGGCGCTGCTGGCGCTGGGCTTGGCGCTGCCTTGCGCCACCGGCTCCTGGACCGAGGCCAACACGGCCTGCGCCACCCAGGCCACCGGCGGCCGCTCCCGGCTCCTGAGCTTCCTCTGGCTGCGCCCCGACGACTCCCCCGCCGCGGTTCTGGTGCAGAGCCTGTGGGATTTGCGCAGCGGGCGGCTGCTGGAGTGCGCCCTGCGGACGGAGCCCGCCTTGACCCGCCGCTATCTGGAGCTCTGCTCCCCCGGGGGGCTCCGCCACCCCTTGGTCCGCGCCCCCTGGGACCCGCGGCTGCGGAGAGAGCTGGAAGCCTTGGATGCGCGCAAGGAAACGTGCAAGGGAGCCTCCCCGGCCAGCCGCCCAGCTGAAGCGGGGGAGTCGGCAGGGCAAGCGCGGGCGCGGAGTCGACGAGGATGGACGGTGCCCGGGACACTTTGGTGCGGAGCCGGGCACACAGCTGAGAAGCCCTCGGAGCTGGGTAAGGAGAAGAGGTCGGGCCGGGAAGGGTCGCTGGGTTGGAAGTCCCAAGGGAAGGGGAGGGGGAGAGAGAGAGAGAGGAGAGAGAGATAGAAGAGAGAGAGGAGAGAGAGAGAGAAGAGAGAGAGGAGAGAGAGAGAGAAAGAGGGAGGGAGGGAGAGAGAAGAGACAGAGAAGAGAGAGAGGGGGGAGAGAGAGAGAAGAGAGAGAGAGGAGAGAGGAGAGAGAGAGAGAAGAGAGAGAGGAGAGAGAGAAAGAGGGAGGGAGAGAGAAGAGAGAGAGGAGAGAGAGAGAAGAAAGAAAGAAAGAAAGAAGTTTGGGTTTGCTGAAATACCATAAACTGAAATTTGAAGGAGACATCTATAAAAACAGAAAAAAGAAAGGGGGAGAGGAGGAGAGAACGAGAGGAAGAGGACGGAAGGAAGAAAGATGGAAGGAGAGGAGGATGGAAGGGAGAGAAAGAGAAGGAAAGGGGGTAGGAAGGGGAAGAGGAAGAGTAGGAGTAGGAGAAAAATAAGGGAAGAAGGAAGGGGAAGGAGAGGAGGAAGGAAGGAAGAAAGAGAAGGAGAGAGGGTAGGAAGGGGAAGAGAGGAGTAGGGGAGGTAAGGGAAGAAGGAAGGGGAAGGAGAGGAGGAAGGAAGGAAGGAAGTAGAGAAGGGAGGGAGGGAAAAAGGAAGGAAAGAAGAGGAAGGTGGAAGAGAGAAAGAGAAGGAGAGAGGGTAGGGAGGTGAAGAGTAGGAGTAGGGGAGAGGCAAGGGAAGAAGGAAGGGGAAGGAGAGGAGGAAGGAAGGAAGGAAGTAGAGAAGGGAGGGAGAGAGAAAAGAAAGGGAAAAGACAGGCCGAAGGGATGGTAAATAAAGCAACCCAAATTGTATATTTATAACTTATTAAACGGAATAACAAATGTATAAGAATGACAAATATAAAGAAGGATAACAACTATGTGAAGGTATATTTACAATGCTATGTAAGGGAATAAAAAATCAAAAAAACTTTTCATAAAAATGAATTATCTGGGAGCTTTTGCTGGCTCTCTTTGCACACCCACGTGCGGGGAAATAAACCCCCAGGCGAGATGTGTGTGAGACTTGAGTCAGCAGGCGGTCGGTGGCACTCCTTGCCACTAGAACGAGGTGCTGCAGTGGGAGAAGCCGGAGGTGGTTTCGGGAAGCGGTTTTGCTTAAAGAGAAAGCTCCGTTTCCTTTCCAGATGGAGGGTTTTATTGAGGTTGCCAGGCGGGGCTGAAGATGCAGGACATCCAGTTCTGATGAAAAGCTTCCAGAAGCTTCTTGGATGGACGTGGGGGGGTCAGGTGTCGGGCACTCCCGCTGAATCAATAAGCCAACATTCTAGAAACCAGCTTTGTTTGTTTTGAATTTATTTGCAAATAACTCCAAAGTGGCAAACAAAACTCTTCGCTATTTTCCCTAGAACAACTAATCTGTCAAGTCAATGAGAATAGAGCTGGAAGGGACCTCGGAGGTCTTCTAGTCCAGCCCCCTGCTCAAGCAGGAGGCCCTCAAGTCAATGAGAATAGAGCTGGAAGGGACCTCGGAGGTCTTCTAGTCCAGCCCCCTGCTCAAGCAGGAGACCCTCAAGTCAATCAGAATAGAGCTGGAAGGGACNTTTCTTTCTTTCTTTCTTTCTTTCTTTCTTCCTTCCTTCCTTCCTTCCTTCCTTCCTTCCTTCCTTCCTTCCTTCCTTCCTTCCTCTCTCTCTCTCTCTTTCTGTATTCTATTCTAAACTCTGGACAGACAGGTATGTCTCACCTGGTCCTTCTCCCAGAGTTGATGGAGGATATTGTTGTCTATGGCGTATTTCACGTAACGGATGTCCAGCGTCTCAATGCGAAAGTTGAGATCGCCGAACCAGAAGATGAGGCTAGAAGGGAGACAAAGGGAAAGAGAAGGAAGTAGCGGGGAGCCACAATAAAAATTCAGGAGACTGTTAGATATGGGATCTTCCTTCCAATCTGCCAAGCCAGCTTCATGCCTGTCCTGTTTGAAAGAAAACCAGGATTTTCCCACCCGTAGATGACAATTCGCACACCAGGATCTTTTTTGCTTCTGAAAGGAAATTAATTCAGATGTCGGATTTCTGGTAGCCCTAAATCCTTTTCGTGCCCACAACTCTGGATTCTAGGAGAATAAAGTGGAATTACTTCAGATCAGGGGTCACCAAACTTTCGACTACATGCATAATTTTAAATCCCGCTAACAGGATCTGCCTGGCTGGGTGGGCATGGCAAGGTGGTCATGTGACTGGGTGGGTGTGGCCAACACAATGTCACTCACATCAAGGGGCGCCTCGCCAGCCTCTACCCGCCACTTCTCCTCGCCTGCCCGCCCGGGCTCCTTAGGGCCCCAACGGGAAGCCGTTGCTGGAGCGAAGCAGCCCCCAGGAGGAAGAGTTGGCAAAAGAGCTCAGTCCTGGCCGAGAAGGAGGCTCAGCAGAAGCACCTCAATGAGGACTAGGAGCATAGGCTTTCCAAGTAGAGGGAGGACCTGCGGGGGTGCAAGGCCAGGTGCCGGCGCCTGGAGGCTCAGCGGGCTGAGATGGTCAGCCAGTTCCAGGCCAGGATGCAGGCTGTGAAGGTTGGACCATAAGGAAGGCTGAGCGCCGAAGAATGGAGGCCTTTGAGCTCTGGTGCTGGAGAAGACGCCGGCATTGAGTCCCTTGGACTGCAAGGTGATCAAACCGGTCAGTCCTAGAGGAGATCAACCCTGGCTGCTCTTTAGAAGGCC